CCTGGCACGGTGTCGTCGTATGGCCCTTGTAGAGTGTGGTAAAAGTTTGAGCTCGTTTCGCAGAGGCCTGATCGAAGGCCGCTTGTAAACTACACCATCTCCGAGGTAGTATGCGGCTATCGAGAGTGAACTTATCCGGTTTGTGAAGGAAGTGTGTTGCCCGTTGCTCCGTTGACCTCGAAACTTCTCATGCTCTCAAAGGGGACCATTGCATGACACGTGCCAGAACATGGCATTTTTCTGGGGCCCCTGCAATATTTGAGACATTTATTGCATCTGTAGGGTTTTAATGCGGGAAGTTATAGATTTGCATGGAGACCACCTGAAATGATACCCAGAAGTGGTTTGTCAAGTCATATATGATGGCTTTGCGGTATGTGTAGGTCTAGTGCAACCACAGGAGGGACAAACCCCGCCACCGGAGGGTGGATGTACCTCAACGGCATGCTGGATCTAGCCATTAAAATCCACGAAAAATCATACGATGCCGAAAATCCTCGAGACCTGTCACGGTGTCGTCGTATGGCCCTTGTAGAGTGTGGTAAAAGTTTGAGCTCGTTTCGCAGAAGCCTGACCGAAGGCCGCTTGTAAACTACACCATCTCCGAGGTAGTATGCGGCTATCGAGAGAGAACTTCTCCGGTTTGTGAAGGAAGTGTTGCTCGTTGCTCCGTTGACCTCGAAACTTCGTGTGCTCTCAAATGGGCCATTCCATGACACGTGCCCGGACATGACATTTTTCTGGGTTGCCTATATTATTTGAGACATTTATTGCATCCGTAGGATTTCAATGCGGCAAGTTGCAGATCTGCATGGTGATCACCTGAAATGATGTCTAGAAGTGTTTTATTAAATCATATATGATGTCTTTGCAGTATGTGTAGGCCTTGTGCAACCAAAGGAGGGGCATCCCCCGCCACCGGAGGGCGAATATACCTCAGCGGCATGCCGGACCTAACCGTTAAACTCCACGGAAAATCATACAATGACGGAAATTCTCGGGACCTCGCACGGTGTCGTCATATGGCCCTTGTAGGTTGTGGTAAAAGTTTGAGCGAATTTTGTAGGAGCCTGACCGGAGGCGGCTTGTAAATTGCAACATCTCCGACGTAGTATCTAGCTATCGAGAGAGAACATGTACGGTTTTGTGAAGGAAGTGTGCTGCATGTTGCTCTGTTGGCTATTTCAACCCTCCATCACACTTGTATACATATATTAAGACACAATGCAAGTCTTAGTGGCATTACTACCCCTGAAGGCCCCCGACCGGCCTAACCCTTACCCGTTGACCCTAAGATCCAGGCCTTTGACTTTCACCGGACGGCCTTTGCCCGACGGACTTTTCCACCTGGTTGTGATAGGCCAGCCCATAGAAACATTTCAGACCAAGGTTGGGGCCCAACCCACCACAAGATTCCCTCCGGTTTGACTCGACATGGTCATTTCCACCCTCCCAGTGCTAGCAGCAGCACCGTCCATGAAGGGGGTCACACTCTGGAGCCGCGTGCTCGGTGTTTACACCTTCCATAAAAATCCTAGAAAGAATCTGATGGATGTAGATATAAATTTTGTTTCTTTGGCCAAGGAATGAAAAATAAACAAATAAGTCAAAATAAAACGGTATTTTCTGTAAATCTGAAGCAAACATGATTTTGGTTTGTTCAAATTTGAAACATAGTATAGCAACATAATCCTTTCAAGATTTTGATGAAAACCATATTAAATTTGTCAAAATCGATCCACATGTCAATTACTTATGATTTTAACAAAGTATAAGGACCTATATGCAAAAGTACATGAGGTCACATTTCTAACATACTCAAAAACAAAACAAACTGGATATTCATAATCTATGAAAAATTCTACCCCAAATCGATGTATAATTTGTGTATGTTTAATTTTAGATAAGTTATATTTAAATTAATCAAATTTTAATTTTCAAAAATAAAAATAATTTAAAATAAAAAACAGATGATATCTATGCCTATGGCACGGCCGTAGGCATAGTTCTCGGCCAGGAGCTACCAGGAGGCGCCACGTGGCGGGGCTCTTGCCGTAGGCATAGATGGAAAACTATGCTTGCAGCTTTGCCGTCGGCATAGCTATACCACGTGGCAGCTCCTAGCAAAAAAACAGATGATATCTATGCCGACGGCCGCCGTCAGGGCCGTCGGCATAGATTTGACGGCGTCGGCCCGCCGTCTGTCCCCGGGCCACCAGAGCCACCTCTATGCCGACGGCCTAACTATGCCTACGGCTGCTGTAGGCATAGATCGATGTATGCCGACGGCCTTACTATGCCTACGGCTGCCGTAGGCATAGATGAAGCTATGCCGACGACTTTTCTATGTCGACGGTTTTCCCTAGGCCGTCGGCATAGATAAGGCCGTAGGCATATAAGCTTATTCCGGTAGTGCTTGCACAGTAGGTAAAAGTTTCTAGGGACTAATCATGCTAGCTAAATTCTTGAGTCACTGTGGAGATGCATGTACGCATGATTACTTTTGAGTGGCAAATAATCCCTCTGTAAACTTTTGTAAGACTTTTTAGGCTACTGAAAAATCTCTAAGTTAAAGATGATAAAGATGCATGGCGTATGGGCTCCATCCACGGCGTTAATCCATCAAGTCAAAGATGGAGACAGAGTGTCACCACCTGACCTGACCCACAGATCGACCATCTGAGCACCCAGTAACCAACACACTCATTCATCATGATGACATGTTTTGACAAGAGCAATTCCTAATGGCCGTTACCATATTTAAATTGTCACAGTCGGTTCTCATGGTGCTTGTTAATGTACAGTTCAGTTGTCTTAATCAGTGTACATAGCAATCCACTGCATGAGATAGCTACCTGATCTGATGTAGTAGATGTTACCATTTGTCACTGCCAAAGACTACTACTGGTATTTGTATTTCTCCTTATCCTTTGATGATGACTCTTGGTTAAACTTTGGCAGCCAAATGAGAGTATCAGAGAGCTGATTTAACACTGATGAGGAAAGTTTAGGCACAGTAAAGAAATATTTTTTCGTTATATATACACATCATACTGACTAAACATGGCCTGACTATTTATTATTACTCCCTTTCCATCGACTAAGCACAACTACTGAATGAAAATAAAGACCATAATTACCTCATGTACTGATTGATCAAAATCTACTATCTCAATTCTGACCAGCACACACTTATATTTATATGGACACACGAGGAGACGCATGCCCGCATTTGTTGAACGTTAAGGACTAATTAATTGATAAATTAGTTATTTTGTCAGCTTAAATTGTTGACCGAATAAGTTCTATTAAAAGAAAAATACTACCTCTGGAACTAAATATAAGACGTTTTTGCAGTTCAATTTTAGCTGAAAAAACACCTTAGATTTAGTTACAGAGGTAGACTTCATACCACATACAACAAGCTGACATCATTTGATTCGTCTTGTTGGAGGAAGCTAAGGCACTAACAACAACCCACTGGATGAGATAGCTACCTGATCTGATGTAGTAGATGTTACCATTTGTCACTGCCAAAGACTACTAGTATTTGTATTTCTCCTTATCCTTTGATGATGACGCTTGGTTAGACTTTGGCAACCAAATAAGAGTATTAGAGAGCTGATTTGACACTGGTGAGAAAATTTTAGGTCCAGAAAAGAAACACTTGTTCTTTATATACATCATACTTATCAGATATGAAATGACTTAAACATGGCCTGACTTAAACATAGCCTGACTATAGGTTGTTAATTTCCGTCATAAGCACAACTACCGAATCAAATGTAGACCATAATTACCTCATGTATCAAAATCTACTACTATCTCAATTCTGATCAATAAACTCTTATATATTTATACGGACACACAAGGAGACGCATGCCCGCATTGTTATGCACCAATTAATTGATCAATTAGTTATTGTGTCAGCTTAAATTGTTGACCAATAAGTATTATTAAAAGAAAAACGCTTCCTCGGTAACTAAATATAAAACGTTTTTGCAGTTCAATTTTAGCTGCAAAAACACCTTGGATTTAATTACAGAGGTAGCCTTCATACTACATACAACAAGCTGATATTATTTGATTCGTCTTGTTGGAGGAAGCTAAGGCACTAACAACAATCCATCATCTATCAACAACTTTTTTGCGAAAAGGAGGATATCAACATTCAACAGGGCATTGACAATGAGACGTTCCAGATTTTCTTTCGAATCTGATGAATGTAAACTTTCAATTTCTAGCCTCTCTAGCTAGCCTGAAAGAAACATTCTACTACCTCACAAGAAGCAACTCCCTGCAGCCATGCGTGTCAGTATCAGCCATGAGCACGATGGCGCCTGTATATATCAGGTTCTTTGGCCATGCATGAATCATGAATGCATATGTCTCTTTGAGTCTCTGCAGTGCAGAATCTAGCGTTAGATAGGATATGCCATCAACCAAAGTGAGGGGCCATGTAAAATAAGTAAATGATTGCTATACTTTGGGCATCTTCAACGCGAACCCCTGAAACAGACACTGTATTTTTTTTATGGACAGGGTAGCTGGCCATCCAACCATACCCGCATATGTTTCAAACTAGATTTGGATAAACCGGGCGAATTTCATGCAAACCAGACCAAATTCATTACATTTTTTACATCAGCTAAACAGAAGTGGACGAGTCTTTTTTAACCTAATCTAAATGATCAATTACTTACTCCCTCTGTAAACTATTATACCTTCAACCAAACCGAGGGGCCATGTAAAATAAGTAAATGATTGCTATTCTTCGGGCATCTCCTACACAGATCCCTAAAGCGAACACTATATTTGTCCGCGGATAGTGATACGGTAGCCGGCCATCCAACCGTGTCCGCATACATTTCAAATTGGATTTGAATAAACCGAACGAATTTCATGCAAAATGCAAATTGGATGATTTTTAATTAAATCAGACCAAGATCATAACATTTTCGACATATTTCAACTAAAAAAAGTCTAAATGATCACCGGCCATGGCAGAGTCCATGTCCGACGCCCTGTCTTCCCCATATCCCGCAAGCTCACTGGCCGGCCATGAGCACCGGGAAGTGAAGCTGCGGAAGGGGGAGAATATGAGTAGCCTTCCTGGGACCCAAGCCATGGCGGCATCCCATGTCCTACTCTTCCTTGCCGGAGTCCGCCTTGTTGACGGCGCCGGACATCGATATGCCGGCCTCGGGGTCATGGCGGCTGGGTGTGAACCGCGGAGTCTATGGTCCATCTCAGGGGTGTATCTATGGTCCATCTCATGCCCATCTCGTGCTTGGTTGCAAGATGAACAGACATATGAAGAGCCATAGATAGAGGTGTTGAAGTTGCTTCAGGATGCAGGGGACTTGGATTCAAAGTTCAGAGAAGAAAATTGAGTCTCTGCTTCCTTGGCTTGGCCTTCTGGGGCAGTAATTGTGGCAACTAGTGAGATTCCACAGAAGGCAGGCATAGGCAGGCCCTGCCCTGGGCCTGGGCCTGGAATCAGGGTGGTACTGTACTGTGCATCAGCTAACTGTAGCTAGCTGCACCGAAAGTCTGAAACGATGCATGCTAACAGTAGCTAGCTGTACTGAAAGTCTGAAACAAGAGGTAATAGCACTGCAAGTCCCTGAACTTGCATGTCAGGTGATGGTTTGGTCCTTGAAGTTGCAAAAGTGGATTATTTGGTCCCTGAACTTGTCATGGATGTGCAAGTTTAGTCCACAGCCAATCAGAACTCGCCAAGTGGATGCCAAGTGGCCTGGCTGGTCAGCGCCGTGAGTTTTTCACTTAGCCCCCTCCCTTTCTGACGAATCAACCCGCGGTACTCGTCGTCCATCTAAGCAAAAAACACCTGAATTTATTTTGTCCCCCTCCCCACCCCAATCATTCATCCACTTGGCTTCGCTCGGTTGCTGTCTTGCTCGTGCCGACCGCGTGCGCCCGTGCTGGCTGACGTCAGCAACCATGGCGGCGTCGTCGCCGGAGTACACCGGCGGTGTCGTCCCTCCTCCGACCGCGCATCAAGTTCGTCCACACGGCGTCTTTCCTCCCGACTATGGTGTGTCCTCCTCCCCTCTCTGCTCTGTTCCTCCCTCCTCCTCTGGTTTGATCGTGTGTCGTCCGCAGCACCGGCGGATCACCCCCTTTGGATAGCGTTGCGGGTATTTACGGTGGATTTCTGTGTCTATACAGCTTCCGGCGCTGCGAAGCTGGTTATTGAGGTGGTCGTTGATTTCAGGCTAGGGTTTAGGCGTTGAAATTTAGGATTTCGCCGAGAAGCTAGGGTTCTTGTGTTTCATGTTCTTTCGGGCACAATGTATCATTTTGACCAGTTAACATTGACCAGCAGAGCACATTGGTGCGAAATCTGTTCTAGTTTTAGGGTTGACATTGAACAGAGGGCGCATTGTTTGCACTTTTAAAAACATGAAATTTGTAGTTGTAGTGCTGATGTTTAGTAGTTGCTCAGCAATTTAGTAGTGCCACTACATCATTTGAATACCTTTTTGTTGTTTTATCTTGCTAGATCAATTATCTGAATGTAGTCAGCTAACTGAATTTAGTCAGTGAACTGAATTTAGTCAGTTAACTGAATTTAGTCTTGAAGATATTACTGTTTGAGATGTGATATGCTTTGGCTTACATAATGCACTTTCTTGCTGCAGTTTGTGATTCAGCAATGGGACAGATTGTGGACACCCCTTTCTTTACACTGGAACTTGAGCATGGTGGGCTTTTCTGTGGACCAAGAAATAACATGGAGTACTATAATCCTTCTGTGGAGGTGATTCACTATGTTGATGCTGGCACATTCTCATATTCAGCTATTGAAGAGCACTTGCTATGGTTGGGATATCCTGTGGCTGAGCACATAATTTATTGGTGCATGCCTGACAAAATGATTTCAGATGGTATGTTGAGAATTAGAGGTGATGAGGATGTGCAACACATGATCAGAGCTAGTAGTCAGCATAAGGTGCTTGCACTAATGGTTGACCATGCAGATTTCATCAGTAATTGCAGGGAAGATTTGGTATTGACAGTGCCAACAGTTCACAGTTCTGTTGTTGCAGCCATGCAGAGGTCAAGTGTTGTTGCAGCCAGTGCAGCATCTTCTCACAGCCTCATTTCAGTAAATGTTGAAGAGCCCATTTCAGAGGTGGCAGCAGATAACATAGAAGCAGACAACTTGGTTGCTAATGGAACAGAAACAGAGACTTTGCTAACTGATGGTGCAGAGGATGCAATGCTCTCAAATTCAGAGTTCAGTGATAGTGATTATGACATAGATGATGGAGATGATGATTTATATGAAGACAATATTGATTTTGATGTTGATGAAGAAGCTGAGCAAGTTGAGGAAGAGGTGGAGCCAGACTATGTACTTGAGGATGAAGATCTAAACCTCTCTTTTGAAGAGCAAGAACAACTGAAATACAAGTTCAAAGCTTTCAATTTCAGGGTGGACATGAAATCCCCTATATTTAAATTAGGGATGGTATTTGGTGATGTGGTTGAGCTAAGGAAAGCCCTTACTGCTTATTCCATAAGGAACAGAGTGCAAATCAAGAAGGTCAAGAATGATAAGATGAGATTAGAGGCTGTCTGTCAGAGAGGTTGCCCATGGCTGCTTAAAGCTAGCAAGGACAACAGGACTGGAGGATTTGTCATCAAGGCCTACTTTGGAGAGCATGTCTGTCAGAAAAAGTGGAAGTTGAAGGACTTGACAGCCAAGTTTCTTTGCCAGTTTTTCTTGGATGAATTCAGAGATGACCAGAAGATGTCACTTGGAACATTTTCAAGGAAAATTACTAAGGAATTCAATGTTACTCCTAACAGATGGAAGCTTGCTAGGGCTAGAAAGCAAGCACTTAATGAGATTCATGGTGATGAGGAAGAGCAATTCAGTAGGCTTTGGGACTATGGACAAGAATTGAGGACCAAAAACCCTGGGTCTACATTTCTGCTCACAACTTCAGTGGTGAAAGATACAAAATTTCCATTGGGCAGGAAATGTTTGAAAACATTGTACTGGGCATATGATGCATGTAAGAGAGGATGGCTAAAGGGCTGCAGGCCAATCATTTTCATTGATGGTTGTCACATGAAAACAAGGTTCAAAGGAGTGCTACTTAGTGCTGTTGGTATTGATCCCAATGACTGCATATTCCCAATTGCAATGGGATGGGTGGAAGTTGAGTGCACAGGTTCATGGGAGTGGTTTCTGACCACTCTCAGAGATGATCTCAACATCACTAACACTGCCCCTTTCACAATCATGAGTGACAAACAGAAAGGTTTAATAAATGCAGTGCACAAAGTTTGGCCAGATTCAGAACACAGGTTTTGTGTCAGACATATTTACCAGAATTTCAATGAGAAGCACAAAGGAGAGGTACTGAAGCAATACTTGTGGGCAATTGCAAGATCTCCAAACAAAGTGAAGTGGAGAGAAAACTGTCAGAAAATGGATGACCACAGTTCAGCTGCTTTCCACTGGACTGAAAGACTAGAGTGGAAAACTTGGTGCAAAGCATTTTTCAGTGAATTCCCCAAATGTGACATCCTGCTCAACAATAACTCTGAGGTTTTTAATAGGTACTTTGGTGGTTTTATTTTGCCAAATTGTTTTGATTTTAACATATAACCCATCTGTACTGCTAATTATCATATCATACTAACATGTTTTCTTTCTATCTGTATGCAGCTACATCCTTGAGGGCAGAGAGATGCCAGTGCTCAGCATGCTTGAGTACATTTTCTATAAGATGATGAACAGGATTGTTAGCAAACAAAGAGAAGCTATTGAAAAGTGGGCAGGCCAGAGAATATGTCCCAAGAATCAAGAAGAAGTTAGATAAGAACACAGAGTTTGCTGCTAACTGCCATGTAACAGAAGCTGGTCAGCAAATCTTCAGAGTTCAGTCTGGTAACAATAGCTACACTGTGGACCTCTGCTTGTACACTTGTGATTGCAGGAGATGGCGGTTATCTGGAGTACCATGTGGCCATTCCATAGCATGTTGCAGGGAGGAGAGAATTGACCCAGAGACACTGGTCCATGAGTGCTATACTGTTCAGACATATCTGAAAGCTTATGGATACACTCTTGTCCCTCTTGCAGGCCCTAAGGAGTGGGAGAAACAGAATGGCTATAAGGTGTATCCACCAGTGTTCACCAAACAGTTGGGTAGACCCAAGAAAAACAGGAAAAGGACACCAGAGGAGAAGATTAAGAATGGTGTTAGGGTTTTGAACAAAAAAGGTGCTACAATGCACTGCTCTATTTGTGGGAGGGCTGATCACAACAGAAAGGGGCATTACAGATGGCAGGAGGCTCTCATTGCAGAAGGGGTAGAGGAGGTTGATGAGAACTATGATGACCCAACATTTCTTCAGGTGCATGCATTTTACTACATTTCACTGCATTTCACTGCATTTTACTGAATTGCACTACACTTCACTGCATTTTACTGAATTTTGCTGAATTTGTGCAGAACATCTTCCCTAACCAGCCAGATCCTTTACTGGATCCAATTGGCACACCATTCAGTATGGTCTACAACATGACTCAGAGAGAGCTTGCAATAAGAGCTCCTTAGAGGGTTCATGGGCCACTGCCTGAGCAATCTGCATTTGTTGCTGCTGCTGGTGCTGCAATACCTCAGCCAAGGATCACTACAGAAATGAACATAGGTAGACAGACAAGGGCAACCACAATAGCTGACAGAGGAGAAGGATCTGGTAGGGGAAGAGGAAGAAAAAGACAAAGAAATCCAGGAGCAAATGCAAATGCAGGTAGAGGAAGAGGATCAATGCCATTTGCAGGGAGAGGAGGATCACTGCCATTTGCAGGGAGAGGAGGATCACTGGCATTTGCAGGGAGAGGAGGATCACTGGCATTTGCAGAGAGATGAGGAGCAATGCCATTTGAAGGGAGAGGAGGATCAATGCCATTTGCAGGGAGAGGAGGATCAATGCCATTTGCAGGGAGAGGAGGAGCAATGCCATTTCCAGGGAGAGGAGGAGCAATGCCATTTCCAGGGAGAGGAGGAGCAATGCCATTTGGAGGATGGAGATGGCTTCTATTTGGAGATCAGAGGACAATTCCTGATCTCAATGCTCCTGCTGATGGTTTGATGGCACCACATCAGTGAATTGGTGGCACTTATTGTCTGCCATACTTTTTGTTAAGGCCTACAGTAATTTAAATTATGGACAGGCCTTTTTTGATAGGCAAACAATGGCTTATATTGCCTATTTTTTGATGGCAAACAGTGGCATTCATTGCCCTTTTTGTAACTAAATTTGATGATGATGCATTTGA